CGGCTACCGCAACCTGCGCTGGCACACCATCAGCCACTGCGACTGCGACCGCCGGTGAGCGGCCCCGCGCTCGGCCGTGCCCCGCAGCATCCCTCCACCCCGGGGACTGGGGATCCCTGGGGCAGTGTCTGTCCCCTCCCCCTCCCCGGCCCCCCTTCACCCTACCTGCGCCCCACGGCAGGTTGAAGGAGTGCCTGCGGCAGGTGAACGACACGGCCTCGCGGGTGGTGGGCCAGGCCTTCTTCAACGTCATCCAGGTGCCCTGCTTCGAGTTCGCCTACAAGGAGGAGTGCGTGGAGCCCTACCTCTATGTCTGGTGAGTGCCCCCCGCCGTGGGGACCGGCCCACCTGCCTCGGCCCCGCCAGGGCTGGCCTCACCCCGCTCTCCGCAGGTGCAGGGCGTACAACACTGTGGCCGTCGCGGTGCCCAGGGAGCCGGTGCTGTACGAGTTCGGTGGGGAGCTGATCGACCGGGCAGCGAGGCCCAGGGGGGTCCCTCGGAGCCCTCCATGGAGCAGCGCAGGTGGAGGAGCCGTCCCAGTGGAGCATCACGCACCCACCCACCCGCTGTCCGCCCGTAAGGCAGCCAAGAAAGAGAGGAAGGGGAAGAAGACAGACAAGAAAAAGAAGGGGAAAGGTCTGAAAAAGAACGGCCCTTCCGAAAACGGGGAGCCGAGCCATTCCGCAGCCACTGTCCCCACGGGGCAGGACCCACAGGCCCTGCTGCCAGATTTGGGGGAAGCAGCTAACACCATCCTGAGTGACGCCCCGGCACGGGAGGTCTTGGGCGGGGAGCCAGCGCTGGCCACCCCATCCCTGGTCCCCACCACCAGCGGGAAGAGAAGGAGGAAGGAGAGAAACAGAAAGAAGAGGCTGAAAAACCAAGCTGAGGCAGAGCCTGCATGAGAGCCGTGGCCCTGACTCCCCCGGCGCGGGTCTTGGCTGTGTAATAAAGTTGGTCGCTCGAGCAGATGGTGCAGCCTCAGCCCCGTCTCTGTGGGGAGAAAGGATCACACCGGGGGCAGCTTCCAGGGGAAATTGTGGGACTGATCCCACTTGTGGGGCCGCGGGAGGGGAAGGACCCAGAACCGGGTGGGTATTGAAAGGGGTTGAGCTGTTCCTCACCAGCTCATGTCGTCTTCTGGGCGCTGGAGGCGGCGAGTCGCTGCTCTGGCTGGGGACACAGCTCCCGTCCCCATCCCGGCACAGGGCAGGGCCCCGATTTTAGCTGCCCTGCCACAGAGAGCTGAGCTCCAGCTCCCTAGGGGTGTATTTCTCTGGAGGACCAGTTAATGAATTGCACCATCCCAGCTCCCTCCTCTCTGCTTAACCTGCTGCCTTTTCCCAGGCTGGAAGCAGCACGGTGCTCCCACACCGGTACCCACTCCTTCTCCAGCCCCCAGCAACGGCAGGGAGCAGCAGGGGCGGCTCTGGGAGGAGCGGGGGCCTTGTCCCTCCCTGGAGGCTCCTCAAACTCCTTACAAGAGCTCTCTGGAGTGGGACAATAGAAGCTTTTCCAGCCCTGAAACAAAGGCAGAAGCTGCCCATGGCCCTGCCTGGCGGGTGGGGATCCCAGCCCGACTGGTTCCCCTCGCCGCTAACCGGGCTCCTGGAGCAGGGGTTGAGGGCAGTGCCCCGAAACAGGGCAGTGTCCCCAGCTCCCGCAAAGTGCTTCTGAGTGAGGAGCATGGCTCGGCCCAGCACCCCCTCTCCCACCCCGTACGGCCGTAGAGAGATCTCCCCACACCAGCACCGAATTCCAGAATTGGGAAAAGCTGGAGCGACGGGAGCTGAGCGCCGTCTCCCGTTTTCCCACAGCCTTGAGAGATCAGACAGCACCGAGGCCCGGAGAGCAGAGCTGCCCCACGCAAACCCCTCTGTTCCCGGAGGAGCAGGGGGTGCAATCCCAAATCCCCAAATCCCTGAAATAAACGGACCACAAGAGCCCAGGGGGGAAATACCAAGGTTGTAGCGAGGCATCATCACACCCTCTGAGCGCTGCTCCTGGGTGCAAAGTCCTTGAGGCCACCACAGCGTCACCGCGGGAAGCACAGACAGGGGGCACGCGGGAAGCACAGACAGGGGGCACGCGGGCAGCTTCCCAAAAGTAGAATTTTTATTGACGGTAAGGGAAAAACTAAAAACAAAGAGAGCCAAAAAGGAGCTGACAACACACAACTAGCCCCCCACCCCCCCCCAACCCCAGATGGGTTCGACATCCCTGGTAA